AACTTTAAATAGCTTTGGCTGTCCAGTTGATTTTGACCATTAATATAATTTATAAATCGCTTGAATAAAAAATAAAATAAAAAAATCAATATTTATTTTGATGAAAAAAAAAATCTGATAGCTATTCAACAATAAATGAAACTAATTCCCACACCTAAACGAACATAGGATTAGACGTTTTAAATTTTTTCAAAATGTGTATTTTGATACTATTTAGGTATTAAAACAAACTACATTTCAATCTAAGGTCATATCTCATATGTCTGAGGTCTGACATATTCAGTGATCCATATATTAAATAATTTATAACTATATAAGAACGGATACTGTATAATAAGAAAAATAAGTGAGTTTAGTACATTAATAAATAATATTATGTATAAAGTTTTGCCTTATTAGTAGTACAGACAATAACGAGTCCGGTTGACAATGAATCGTTTTTATACAAGCATACCTACATAATTTTTTAATTACAAGGTGACGGCTATAAAGGTATGAGCTATATATTTATTCTCTTCATTTTAATTAAATATTAATGATGTTTAAATAAATAATATTTATAATATTGTATATATATATTATAGCCATAGATTTAGGGATGTCTTATATTAGACATATACGAATTTTTATGAATACTTATAAGTAAAACCCATTAAAAATTCTAATCGAGGTGAATTAAAACATTTACGTATACTTATTAATATATCCACGGTTTTGTTTCGTTTTCATTTTTTTAGTTCCTCTAAGTTAATAATATATGTAATATGTACCTATCATTGATTTTAGCAGTATATATACTAATGTATACGATCTAATGATCGTTTTCACATTTTTAAAGGCTCACTTCAACATTTTTTCCGTCGATTAATTTCTTAGTAAAATACAAACGTCTCGAATACTCGTCATATACTTGAACATAATTTTATCATCTAGCAATCAGCACCATTTAATGTAGTATGCACATTAAAATAGTAAGTTATCTAGTTCAAAGGGCTCATTATACATTATAAATATATAGTTGTAAATAAATAAATTATAATAATAATAATTTAATACTACAAGGTTATATTATTAGTAAAAAGTGATATATTGCTCTCATTGAATTTAGAATAGAAGAATATAGACAATGCTATAATATATTATTATACTAATTTGTGTTGAGTTGAACGAATTAATTTGTGTGTTAGGTTTTAGGTATTTTTAATATCTTGCAGAAGTGGCTTTATTTAAAATCAGCCTGTGTAATGCAAATAAACCTATAAATTAAAATCAATATACCGAAATTGATTTTATTGGAAGTTATAATTTATTTTGTGTTAAATTTCTCTTATACAAAAATTCTATAGAATTAAATGGCTTATGGTTCATTTTACTGGGAAAAAAAATGTTGATATTCGTTAAACATGATAATTTACTCCATCTCTTAGAAATGTGTATTTCTTAATAAAATCCCTAAGTTATTAACTAATAAAACGTTTTAACTTAGTTTAAGCTAGTATCATAAATGTCCATTATATCTTACATAAACATTAAAGTTTAAGCAGTAGGAAATATTTTAAATGTTTTCCTTCTGAACTGAAATCTATTCATACATCAAAGGAATATTTTTCGAAGCATTTTTGAACTATATATAATATTAAGCTATCAGATTATTTTCATACACGCTAAAATATATTTTAAAACAATAACATGATATTTTCGTTTTTCGAGACTTCGATTCGTGTATACAACTTAGTGATAAAATGCGATTTCTCGAAGGGAGTCTACGAAACTCGCATTTTTTAATCACAATCAAGACGACCCTACAGGCTCAAAATACAGTACAAATATATCAAGTATAATATTATACATATATAATATGTGGTACGCTTTATAATATGTCAATATATAAACGCATATACAATAGGTATGCCTATATACTTATATAATTAGATTTTATTGTGGTATTCAGTGAGTGGTAAAAGTTTGATGGTAACGCGTATTAATTAACTTCACGGATGTCAAACGAAAACGAGATTTACGCGTCAGTGCTGTAAAATACCGTTCAAGGACCTCCTCATTTAGGTATATATATATTTGTACATAGATACGCGAATTCGGGTCGTATATTATGTATAAACTCAAAACTGTGACGTGAGTTTATATAGGTGCGGTTCACAGAGGAAATTGAGGGGAAAACGATCGAAAATTCAATATAATAAAATACGAATTATAACAAAAATACATAAATACTATTATAAATATTGAAAATCGTTACCTAGGTATATATATATATTATGTATATTATATATATATTATATGTATATATATACATATATAAAGTAATTAATTAACTCGTGTAAGATTAGTCGCAGATAGTCGACGAGTTAGAGGCGCCTTGACACTCGATTATCTATAGTCACTGACGTTAATATTACGGGTTGAGTCCGACGAGCGTTTTTTTATTATAATAAACATACAAAGAGAAGGTCTCAATCCGTTCTGTGATAGAATATACATGAATACATGACGATCGGGGACATGGAATAATTATTATGAACTTGATATAGTCGTTTGGAGGTGCCTTGTTTTGGAAGATTCGGAGATTTTATACTTTAAATAAACAAGAAACACTTGGCATTTATATATTATTATTTAAGCCGTAGAAATCGGAATCGGGAAAGGGTGGAATAGTTACTTGTTACTCAAATGCAAGGTTGAATGACTTGAATGTATTATGTAAGTACGTAACAATACCAAGAATATCCTTACTATAATATATTTTTTGGTCGTAAGTTTATAGCGATTATGTACTTACATATATGTATGCGCATATATATAAACAATTGGTAAAATTCTATAAATATTATTTGCTCGTATCTGATGGCGAAAGTGTCTGTGGTGTATAGAATATTTCATAAGCTGGATGATTTTTTTAATACATAAAATTTACTTAGATTTCAAACGTATCTTTCGATTATATCGTTAATTTATTCTAGCTGTTAACTATCCATAAATCAAATTTTATTCATTAAGTCTATAAAATTACATTTTTAGAATTTCTTACATTGTCCAATAATAAATCTAATAATACAATATATACTTAAGCGAATAATACCTGCAGTTAAATGTTAACAATTTTACATGCCATTGACATTACAATAATATATGCATAATATAATTATAATACATAGGTACCTACAAGTTCGTACACATAGCTCACATAGATAAGTTGTACATTTATAAGGACACCCTGGGAACTCTTCTCCACCCCTATTCTTAAATGTTTAACTACGATAAGTAAATACCGCCGTTTGAGAAGCCATGATACATGTTAAAATAAAAATAAAAATTAATAATTAAGTAAATTAAGATTTTAACCTTATAGGTTATTTTTAAACTTCTTTCTATATATTATAACTTATAAATAAGAAAAAAACATAATAATTAAAGTAAAATTTCTGTGGTAGTGGAAAAACTAATAGCCAATTTTAGTATTAATTATTTATAAATTTATAATTTTACCTTGATGTGATATAAAAATAGCCTTATATCTAAATATTGAAATTTAAAATACATTGTATACCTAAATTAGAATAAAAAAGTAATTTGTCGTTTAATTTGAGAGGTCATTTTTAATTTTTTTTAGTAATAAAAACCCATTAAATTTACTTTACCGGGAAATATTAATTTACCTCTTATTTCTCTAGATTTTCTACGATTTTGTCTACTCACAATTATTTTTGATGTTATACAAATACTTTATAATTAAAAGATCATTTTTATATTTAAAATGTATATATCAATCTGTATAGAAGCAAATCAATTTTGTGTTAAAGGTCATGTGACTCGACAGATGAACGGTTTTTTTGTTAGTTGATAATACGAATAATAATGTTATTTTAGTTATTTATTCTATGCAATAGAAATTTTAGGTAAGCTGCGACTATACGCGCGTTTATGTTATAAGGTCATGACCGCTGCACGATAATAATTGATTTTGACCGTTTGTCATCGGATTGTCGAGAGCATATAAATATTTGTATCAAGCTATCAATAATATAACCTCGAAACGCTTAGTATTATGTGCTACATCTTATACATACTTATATAATAAACCTATTAGCTGTGTGCCTTTATGTAAATATTTTGTTATAATTGGAATATTGCTTATCGATAATATTCAATTATATTTTGGATATTAAAGTAACTTATATATTGGGTGATCCATTTATTGTAAGACACTTAAGTTTTTAAATATTTTTTTTAACATAATCTTATAAGCTGTTTTAAAATAACATTTTTGAGAACAAATTATATTTTTTTATAATTTTTTATCATTACCTAATACCAATCATTTTTAAATTTTTTATTTTTTTAGACGGCAATTTATATTTTTAATTTCATATTATTCCTATATGAACAATATTATTCAAAGTATTTTGATCTGTTAAAACCAAATTTCAAACAACTAGTTAATAAGTTATAATTAGTAACTTTTAATTTATCACTAATAAACTACTAATCCAAAATTCTATTTTTTTTCTGCTTTGTAATGAGAAATTAAAAAACGCATCGTTTCGCCACTGTAGTCCGTTAAGAAATCCATTAAGCATTAGGTCCTTGATATGAGCGGCGCCTGAAGTACGTTCAGATAGTTCAATCGAACTGCCTTAAAAAAAAATTAGTTTGAAGGATGGATAAATATCTACTAATAGCGAGTACACTACAGAGTGCCAATTCCATTAGATTATTTACACTTAAAATCGTACTCTTTAAATCGTTAAGCTACACTCAAAAATAATAATATTTATTATTATTATTATACTATTTAAAAGGATAGTTAATTGGAAAGGGCGTGAGCGGATCAATCAAAGTATTTAAACTGCTCATATTATTCAGTTTATGTTATTAAGTATTGGCAATTTATAACGATCGTGACCGTAAATATTTACATATTATGTTTATTTGTATTATTATTATTTAAGTAGGCGTTACAATTATATTGTGTTGCGTTACAGGCTCGGTGACGGCCACGTTGGGAGACGATTCTGCCTGTGCCGGCGCAGGTGACGAGACGTTCAGCGGCCGCAGCGTGGCCGAAGTGCGAGCCGGACACCTGTTAGTCCGATGGAACGGGCCGGCCGGTTACTGTTGGAAGCTACTCCTCCGGTATCTAAACCTCACAGCCACCGAGCACGCCACCTACGGGTTCAGTCTCGTGCGACCGGGGTCCAAAACACCAATCGTCACCATAGTGGTGAGTAGTTGTACTTAAACCTACCTCCCGTCCATCATTAGCTATTCGTTTCGCAAAATTACACTGCGTATTTTACGCGAGACGAGACGTACCTACGGTAAACGAATCGCATAAAATCGGTTTAATGTACTTAGATAGGTAACCTGTTACCTGTACACATCGCCACATCGACAATTGTTTTTTTCGGTTATGGTTCCCGCGATATGAGATCTTCGGGGTAACAAATAGCGACAATAACGTTATCCAATAATAATCAATGTAGGTATTACGTAGGTACTAAACTACTGCGGTAGGTACTTTCGTGTAAATTTATTTTCCTCGATGAACTATTTCAAGTCAAAGGAAAGTATTTACTATTAGGTATAGTTAGGTATACGTCATAACACATCTGTACTTGTTAGTTGTTAGATACGTGGACAAAACTTAATAAATTCTCCTTGAGTTTCATCAAAACACCTAAAATTTACAAAGCACCTACATAACTGATGTCTGGTATAAAAAAAAAAGTAGGTACCGAGTGAATTTTTTTTAAATCAAATTTTTAAAATCCGTAGGCCATAATATATACCTACCTAGGTTATTACTGACTCACAGATTGTTTTTAAAACTTCTAACTTAAACACTTTAAAATATTACACGAAAGAGATTCGTAATTCTTGTTATACGTATTTTATTTCATATTTATATTATGCTGTTTCGTTGTGGATTATTTGAATGGTCATACTAAATTATTTCAGTGTCAGTCTAAGATAGCTATTATAGTTAAATATAATAAAATGTACACGGTTCAGTACAAGCATCAGTGGTTCAGTGGTAGAATGCTCGCCTGCCACGCGGGCGGCCCGGGTTCGATTCCCGGCTGATGCAGGAATTTTTTATTTGAATTTTATTAATATTTTTGCATCTTCACTCATAAGACGTCATAAGTGACATTTTATAATATATTAAATTATATCAATTATTATTATAATAAAAATTAAATACCTAAACAAATATTTTTAAAGAAGAAGAAAACTGTCAGTTTTTAAACAGCATTTTAATGATTACTATAAATATCTAAAATATTACTTTAGTTGATTATTTCTTTATAAGTTAGGATAGTACTGTTTTTATTAGAAATATAATCTTATTATATAAGATTTCCCGTATTTTAAACTAAAATACATTATTACAGTTTACTCTTATTGCACTTTGTGTAGGAAGGTATGCTTGAAAGTTAAAAGTTCCTTAAGTAAAATAAAATTGTATAATCATTCATGTAACTGTGTAGCTCTTGACGTTTAAAATAATTTAATACAAATTACAAATGACTAATCAATTTTTAAAAAGCCCTAAAAGTGAAATATGAATGTTAGCGATAAAAATCAAAATAATCACTGTACCTATCTGAACATAGAAAATTGTGAAAGAATTTTTTATTATTACCCAGTACCTACTCACGAAAAAATCTGATCTTGTAAATTATTGATTATTTGATAATAATAATTATTAAAAATTAATTTCTCAAAATTGCATATAAATTAGTATTTTTCCGTTGTCTTCACTGCAAATTTAAACTGTTATTACTTATTTCAATATTTTGCCTGAATTGCTATAATTATTTGGTTGTTTTTTTAATTTAAAATTTGTTTCATTTAACTAATGTATTAAAATCTGTTACTAAGAACCAAAATAATAATTTATTTCGTATTAAAATATTTTTTTAATTAACATTTTTTATTGTTGAAAGAATAAAATTTATATTATTTTGTTTAGTGATGAAAACATAACTGCTACAAAAATTATGTTTTTTTTCCAACGTTGTGAATCATGATACAAATTGAAGTATATTTTACAATTAATTGGACATATATAGATGTATTTACAAACCTATTATTTTCCTTGCATATAATTCTGGTCTCTAATAATAATTATAACTAGAATGTACCAAGTAATTTCATAATATTTTAATAACCGCATACAATTATTGATATGGTAATTCATTTTGCCCGTCGATAATTTTATTCCTTGTCTTAGCCCCCACCCTTTGCCTCTAGCATTTTAAATATTATTTAGTCTTATATTTTAACGAGTTTTATGAACGAGCAGTTATCGATTCGAGACGAATATTACAGATTGTATTGTATAGTATACAAATGTTCATAAAATGTGATAAATAAAATAAAATGGGATAATTGTATGTAAAGTATACTTTGAATTGAAGACTATAAAAAGTGTAATATGAGAGTAACATAAAAAAAATATACATCTTTGTTAAGAGAAAGATTTACAAAAAAATTATTCCGGTACCGGGAATCGAACCCGAGCCTCCTGGGTGAAAGCCAGGTATCCTAGCCACTAGACCATACCGGATCGGTGATAAAAAGTTCAAAAATAATATTATTTAAGTAAAATATATATTTTTATTCTAATAATACACTTTTTATAATATAATGATTAATTTTAGTTATAAAATATGTTAGGTAGGTAGTTGTATTTTAATTTTATAATATACATTTGATTATTGATAGTAAGTGCTTAAAATATAACCTATCAAACTATCAAGTATTTTTTGTATTTTTATATTTTTTATGAACTCTCAGTTCAAGACTATTATAGGTAGCTTAAATAATTACAATAAAATTACATTAAGATATTGCTCGATCATTGTATTAATCTATTAGGCTGTGCACATAATATTAGGTACCTACATAGGCTAAATAAAACATAACTGAACGTCTGAGCGGTAAAAAAATAATAGATAGGTACAGATTATGATAATATTTATTTATTATACTAGAGTACACACCGAATTTGCAGGTACTTAACAATGCTCATATTATTTTATGTAATAAACTACCAAAAAACAATCTTAAGAAATAGGTGCATTAATTAGAACTATAAATACCTATTTTACGTAGGTACCTACCTAATCATAATAGTACCGTACCTAGGTATAAATGTACGATATACAAATTCTAAAAGTACTTTTAATATGTTTATTTATAGTAGGTAGGTATATAATTACCTATGATAGGTATTTAATATTGGTAACAGAGCCGCAATACTCAGCAGTGTTCCGAAAATTAGTATATTATCATTTTCTTTTCTTCTCATCATAATCCTGAAGGATATTTGTATAGCGGCGCACCCATGGAGGAATGATTAAGGAATAAAATCTTCAATTAAATATGTATACAAAAAATTTTAACATCGAAAAAATTCAACATAAGACACTAAGGATACACATAATATTCTAAACTTTAAGTTTGATAATAGAAGAAATTGGAGGAGACTGGGAACAGGCATACAATAGAGAACAATGGAAGGAATTAGTTTTGGCGGCCAAGAGTCTAAATGGCTCGTAAAAAGCCTTTAAAAAAAAAAAAAAAAAAAGTTTGATAATAAGACTAATAAATCGATCAATTCTAAATCTAAAGCTAATAACATAAGATTGGTTCTGACTTCTGCTGTACCTACGCAAATTTGATAATATGTAATTTGTGGATCAAAATGGGTAAATTATAGTGCGCTGATATTTTTTAACACATTTCATAGTATAATTTTTAAATAACTGCTATACAATAAATCGACAAAGTAGCATAAGTAAGTACACCAATTCCTTAAAAGTACTTAGGTATTGAAGGACGATACAATTTAATTTTCATAAACTTATATTGGTAGAAACGAACAACATTTCAATTCAGATTAAAATTTTAAATGTCACATGTAATAGGTAATAAATAATAACAATAATATAATATATGTATTAGTGTATTACACTTAAAGGTGTAAACCATTATACCCATTTATCTACCTATAGGCTGTATTATTTGATACATATATTATGTCGACACGATTAACGACAAGATTGAAACATATATTGGTAATAAGTAATAACTAATAATATCACATAATATAGGTTACCTGTTGATATATAGGTCTATAAAACTATAGGCAGGTCGCAGGTATAGTAAGTACCTAATAACTATTTACAGTAATAATAGGTAAATATCATATATTATACTTTGTAGTTTGTACCAATAATAATATTATTCTACTTATAATGATACTACCATAATATATAAACATATAGGTATACCTAATATAATATGATAACCGCAATATTACAGTTAAAATATTCTTATAAAATAAAATATGTGATTGTAAAAAAAAAAATGCAGTACGTAGGTAGTCCTATGGACTCTGTTTTTTATCGTAGTTAACTCTATTATTATTAGTTATTAATGTTATTATTTATTACTTATTGCTATACCTACACTTGTCGAGAAAATATTATTTTCAAATCACGATTTTAACAGTGGACAATAACACGTAGCTAACCAGAAACTATGTATTGTATTGTTTACCTTGCATAAATCACATTATTGGCCCTATTTTTTGCTATTCACATTTATTAAGTTTGATTTATATTAAGATTCAAAATAAAATATAAAAACAAGTATAAGTGGTTAGTACCGAATTATTTCACGTTTTAAAAAGGTACCTATTTTAATACGATGAAATTTTGTTACTAAACTAATAATTTGGATTTTCTTTTTTAAGCATTTTTTATATTGCAATTTAAAATTATATTTATGTACGAGTATAATATAAATTAAGTTTTTTTGTTTAAATTTATAAATGCTTGATACATTTAATTAAAGTGAGCAAATATCCTTATTTAAAATTTTCAAATCATAAATGTATTATAGTAAAATGTATACATTAAATCATAGCCAAATTTATTCTATTAAATACTTTGGGCTATTTAGTAAATATGTTTTTTAATACAGGATAAATTTATCGAATTGTATTAAATCGCATAACAAATTTTAGCGATTGTATAAAGGAATTCAACTTCATTATATTATAGAAATTATATATAAAGAGAAAAAGCAATTAAATTTAACACGTTCGCCGTCAGTACCACATTTCTAATAGTCAACCTTTTCCATAAAACAATTTATAAATTAAAAATTAAAATTTTCAATAATTACTCTATCCGAAGGCAATATTATAAGCCAACTTAATTCGCCATGACAATTAAGCGTGATATTCGGCAATGAATAACGTGTTTAATATATTTTTATACAATCTTACACGTAGGCATAAGATTTATTTGATTCAAAAATGTAATGTGTAAAATTAACTTTTCTCTTTAAAACGTTTTAATAATACTAAATAAATTTTTTTTTTTACTTATGATCGAAAATAGGAGAAAAAATAATGCAATGGTTGTGATATTTAACATTTTTAATCATTGTTATAACTTATAACTTATATTTAAAATAAATTTTAAAATTTTGAATTACAATGATGTAGGTTGTAGATATAAAATTAAAAATTATAATATATTACAATACATATTAAATCAATAAATATTTATTATAAAAACTAACCTTAATTATTAAATAAATAAATATTTATTTATTGAAGTCAAACTTTTTTTCATTTTATTTTCTAGCATTGTATTACTTGTATCAAAAATTCTTCTTCCTTTTGTAATAATATTGTTCAAAATATGTTCATGATTTTAATACGATTAATATAAATAGGCAACACAGCGGTACACAATATTAATATTATATTCTACAAGAATAAATTGCATTATCATATTGTACATTTTGTAAATATCATAGAACGATCCCTGATATTTTAAGTGCATATAGATGCATCTATTTGCAATATGACGGTTTTACAACAGTAAAATTGTTTAAATGTATTAATGATCATTGCATTATTCTAAAAAAAAATTACCTAGACATTAGTTTATTTCTGGTGGGTTTTAGATTAAATATATTGTACTATAATATGCTAGTATTTAATATTTATTATCAAGGCCTAATGGCAAAACTTCTGCAATATCCACGGAATTTTTAAATTTCCTAAATAAAAATACCATTGAAGGCTTTTAAACGTTTCATACCTACTTAGATATATTGATCTACCTTGTCACTATTTCTCAGTTCTGTCGAAATAACAATACAATATAAATAGGTATAAAAATAAATTGTCTATACCATCAGTTAAATTGTTAAATATGATTACATTGTTATCAATATTATAGGATATTCTAATGGTGAATATGAAGTTACGAAATTTAAAATTTATTCCTTCACCTAGTTTTTGCATCAAATGTGGTTTTCATAAAATAACGGTTTTTCAAGGTCTTATGTTGTAAATTTTTCAAAAATCAAATTAATAAATACATTAAAAGGTAGATCGACATTCTTCCAAAGTTCCAAAGGTTATTGCTTGTTTTGAATAAATTTACAAACACTTTACACTCTTAAATAGAGGAATTATTAGGTTTTTAACAAAAAAAAAAAAAAAAAATTCAACAAATGACTGTTGGTCATAAATGAAAAAAAAAAATCATAGAAGTAGCAATAACTATATTTATTGACCTAGCATCTTCACTGGGAGGTTTTTTTACTCTATATTTCCTGTGATGTATACAATATTATATGATATATCACTTAAGCTTATTAATCAATTATTTTAATAGATTGCTTTAATAAAAAAATAAATAAATGTATGTCTCACATTGATAGTCTTATAATAGTTATACCTAACATATTCCATGTGTTTAGATTTTTAATAATTATCTATGAGTCTAATTTTATTAACTTAGTATGTGACATTGTTTATTGAATATAATAAAAAATAATTTAATTTTTAGGTGGATACCGATACAGATTACCATCACTGGACAACGACTATTGCGGGGCAACTCTTGAGCCAAACACCATTGGATGATGTTAAGTATCTCGATATACTTGGCATTGTCACTGACCATGCACCACTTCGACGATATTCATCTACAGATTCATTGATGACATCTGCATCTAAATATAAAAGAACCAGCCTGGATACTCAAGAAATCAATAATAATCACTTATTTGGTCCACGTGTGTACAAGAAGAATGTTTCACACTTGCCAGACTTGATCAGAGAATGTGAACAATTACGTAATAGAACACCTATCAATGAGTTTTCAGAAGTAATACCAGTTAAACAGAAATGCAAGATATTTGAAGAATCACTCATTTGCTCTTCAAAAAGTGTGGAAAATTTACATGGTCTTTCATCTCATATAACAAACATTAAGTCTAGGTCAATGAACAATTTGGATTTAGATTTAAGAGCTGTGCCTGTGAAAGACATTTGCAGATATTTCGAAAGCAGATTCAATTCTAATGAACCCAAAACCATACAATTCAGATCACTGTATTAACTTAAATATTGTTAATAAAAGTGAATTATGGATGATATAATGTTTAATAGACATTACACAAAAACCTTTAGATGAAGAAAAATGTTCCAAAGATTTATGAAACTATTATGATAATATATTACTTAATGTATACTCTTAGTCATTAATAAATAATTTTGTTTTTAAATAAATGAAAAACAATCAAAAAATTTGTAATTTTTACAAATATTGAGCTAAAAATAATAATAAACATAAATATCTGCGTTCTTAAAAATATCAAAAACAAATTACAATTTAAAATCTTAAAAATGGAAGAAATTGTATACATGGGTAATAAAACCAAATTGGAGCACTCTAATAACCAAAAATTAATTACTCTTATATTAAAAACTTACATTTTTATTTAATGACTATAATATTTATGTTGTTCTGCATATAACTGATTATTATCGATTAAAATACACCTACTTCACCGATAATATAATATAAATACATAATATTTATTTGTCAAACTACAGCTTCAATACAGAAACTATAATTAAATGATAAATAGATGATTTTAATCACGAGCAGCAGAAACACATAAATGTATACCTTCTACAGGTACTTACAAAACAATAATAATAATAATAATAATAATAATAAAAAATTTATTTTGCACATATTTGAAATCCATTTGTAAGCACCGATGATAGTATATGTGCTTATCAACTTAAGGATAAGGTATCTGTTGGTTAACATTGAACTTCAATTATACCCTGTTAGTCTAAAAAGTAAAAAGGAAATTAGTTTTATCAATTTCAAAAAATTTATTGAAAAAATAAACATTAGTGTTATTATTTACCCGTAACTAATAAAGTGTCTTTTGACGTTGAATTTAGTGAATCTTCATACTTAGAATGTGCCAGATCAGACAATTCCTCAAAATGCTTCTGTCGTTTTCGCACATTCCAATGTAGACATTCAGCTAGTGAATCGAACCAATCAGTTATTTGGTCTTGAGCACATATTGACGGTAACGAAAATATAGATGTAGTTACTCGTAAGCTGTAAATAAAATATTTATTAATTTATTAAATACAATATAGAAAGTACTTAAAGCACAATGTAAAGCAAATATTCATGCAAACTAATACACATGGTTATCATTTTCATAGGTCCTAAAATTATTAATATAATTCATAGCAATATGATTAAACAGTTAAAACGTGCATTATAATAATAATAGTAATATCATTTTCATCAGAATGTGTTTAAAAACTTGATTATTATATTTCATATAATAATTAATAAATTAATAAATATTGAAGTCTGATTACAAGTACACCAAGTACACTGGTCCTTTAACATCATTGTTTAGATAACTTACAGGTTAAAAATCAAATTTTACTGTGCACATATTATCCAACACCAAATATTATTCTACATTTTTTATTGACCGACCTATCATCAGCACACAACTCCTGTTGATTTCGGCCATCAAATGAAACCCAAGCTGTTGATCTCGCATCCGGACTTAACATAATCTGCAAACAGTTTTAAATCTGCTATATCAGTATCAACAATATAATCTATATAAAATTAAAATACTTAATACTTTAATACATAAAATGTAAAAATCTTTTTTTAAGCTAATAAAAGTCGATTGTCATCATTCATAGAGACTTATATTTCCATAGACATACTTTATAATACACTAGAGTTTATTTAAGTTTCTTAAATAAAAATAATATTAATTTTAATGCTAAAATGCTAATATCTATTGAAATTTTCATCAAATCTTTTAATATTTAGATAACCATGTGCACCTCAAAAGCATTTAAACAAATACAAGCATTGACAAATAACAATATTGTAAAATTCACTCTAAATATATAAAAAGTTAACTCCATTTTTTTTCCTATTACAGTATTACCTATCACCATGAGATATTTCTTGCCGATTACGACCGTCAAATGAAACCCAGGCCGTATTGCGGCTATTTGGTGAAACTGTTATCTATATAAAGAAACAAAATATATCCTAACTCTATTGATCTAGTAACAGTAACTATTTAATAACTTATAAAATACCAATAAAAACTAAAATTAAACAAAATATACAAAGAATTCCATGTTATGAGTGTAAATAAATGAATAATTAAATTATACAATTTTTAATTAATTTATTATAGTCATTACTCATTAGTATTGAAGGAATCAACCTACATAAAATACTAAAAATAATTTTAATAAATTTAGTCGATATGGTTTCTAAAAATCAACCAATAAAACTTTTAATCTAATTTAAATGCATTTAATTGAGAGTTAAAAAATTTTAAATTTAAATTTAAACTCAAATTAATGTAAAAATGATTATTGTCACAATGGCAAAGTAACCATGTACAGTGAACATTATTTAAATATTTGTGTTTAAGAAGCATATGATTTCAGTTAAAATATATAAACATAAAAAAAAATATAGGTATTAATTCTAACTTGGGGCCCACACCTTAAATCTAAACTAAAATTACTAAATTATCGTCTACACAAACTTTGCCCAATACTTAAATTTAAACTTTCTATTAACTCAATATTAACAATATACAAATCTTTTTTAAGGCCTATAAGGACCTATGGTTCTCAAATTTGGGGAAGCGCATAACTGTTCCAACTACAAACCATCCAAGCATTCCAGTCCATATCCCTCTGTTTCATAACATCTGCCCCATGGTACGTAACAAATAATACACTCCACAAGGACTTAAAAATATAAGCTGTTGAACAACTAATTAAACAATACTATACTAAATTTCACAAAAAAATTACATCAACACCAAAATCAGCTCCCATCCATCACGTACACTTCCTGACAATATCCCTAGCCGCCTTAAAAGACGCTGGTGTCGTGATCTTTTATGATATATATATGAAAAAAAAATATCAATAAATTATGTTTAATTTAATTTAAATCTGAAGGGTTTTATCATTGGATGGTCGCCCTTATTATGCCATTCTGCCTTTTTATTATATTGTTTTTTTTGTACATATTAACACATTTACTCATCGTGTTTTTATTAATACAAATTATAAATTTTCTAAGAAAAAAAAAAATAAATAAAAAGGGTATTAATTAAATAAAAATAAAACTTAAGTTTCATAACATATTATGTTGAACTATCTTTTAAATTTTATTTATATTGTTTTTACAATTAATTTTTAACTATTTAATAGTAATAACTTTACTGTTAAAAATTTTCTTAAAATATTTATATAATAATTTATTTATTATTCATCTATATTTCAGTTTAAAATTTATCTTTGCAGGTTATTTGTGTTTATTTTTTCAATTATTATGAAGTAACTTATAATATTGGTAACAACTGACACAATATTACAAATTATAATGTATAGTTTTGTACATAGTAGAATACTAGAAATAAATGGATTTATTTATTCATTATTTAGAAGCATTGGCTTATTGTTTGAAGAATCAACATATAAATAATGACCAAGGTCATGATTCCTTAAAATATTTTCATAATATGGAATTCTCATTGTATAATATGTATATTACTATTGATTAGAATTTAAAAATACTATAGTACTTATAAACAATGATATTAGTATGTAATATTGCAATATATAAATAATAATAATTAATAACTATCAATGGTTATAGACGTATAAACATTTTCCCTAATCATTGAATGTAGATACATGTATTCAATATAAAAATTAATAATATTTAATAATTTGATAACCCTGTCATATTTTTACTTTAGATTATTTAAAGTTATCCAAGAAAAACAAATAGTATGAATACTCCAAATAATTGATAGTTCAAACAATTTCCATAATACTTGGTTTAATCTAATGATCCAAACTATTTAATCACATTCAATATTTTATAAATAATATTAAATTTACTAAATAGTTTAAAAAACTGTTCAGTGATCCATAAAAATATTCTAATTTAGAATTTAATAGCTTAGTGATGTTAACATTACCTATTACTAAATAAATTATAAATGAAGTGTAGAATTAAATTCAATGTTAAGAGACTAATTTAACATATATGACCAAAGTGTAATTGTGTAAAAAAGTATGCAATACTTAATAAAGTTGAATTCAATGTTGCTTAATTATTTTTTATTACTAAGTGTGGAATTCTTTTAAAATAATAGTTTACTTTTAATTCAACGCCAGCTGGTACTACTATTGGCCTGAAAGACAAAGAATGTGGGCATATAGGTGTCACCATGATGGCTGGAACACTTGGGTGAATCATTGATGCACCTGCTGCAACTGCATATGCAGTACTTCCAGTCGGTGTCGAGACAATCAAACCTAATAACAAAAATTTAAGTTAAATAATAATTTTAATATTTAAACAGCTAGAATATGATAGAGTAATTTTGAATTTAAAAAAAACATAAAATCCTTTGACATTTCCTATACACTAAAATATACATTGAATCTTAAAATAAATATATATGTCTTGAATTATTTCATTTCAAATAATCTATTTTATATTATACTAGTAAAATAAACTTTAAAGAGTTCTATTGCTAGCAATTATCTTAAATTTGTTCACCAATAATTTGTTTTTTTTTTATGATATAAAAAAAATAAAACTATCTAAAATACCATAACTTATGTGAAAATAAACTCTAAAAAATTTAAATTAATATAAATGTTAAGATCTCATAATACATTAAACATTGTTTAAAATATTTTTTTCTTACTATGTTCTACAATAGTGATTGTTTAACTTAAGAAACATACTCTGTGGTAACTAGATTTTCTGGGTGGCAGTTAATATAATATTCATCTGTATCACTCATTAAGTCAACTTTTTGAACGGCTATCATGTATTCTCTTGCACATAAGTTGGCCACTTAATATTTCTTTAGTTGAACAGAGTATATTTCTTAACATTTGTAATCCACAAAAAATTTAATAGTAAATAGATAAAATTTAATACTTAAATAATATAATTTATGCATTTAATATGTAATTTTTTAAATAAAAATTGTATTCATTACCATCTCCTTGGACAGATGTTATGTATTTCCCATCTAAAAACAAGTCAATATTTGAAAGGTATGGTGATGGTCCACGGTCAATAACCACTTCATTAAGTACAAGTAAATTTGGCTGAGGCTTTTCTTTATCTTCGTTTTTCCTAACAATTATACATCTAAGTCTACTGCGTAATGTTAATGCAGCATGTCCTTCAAGTACATTAGTCACTTGCTGCTGAAAATTGTCAAACTTAAAAGGTGTTAAAAAACCCAGGGAGCCTAAGTGGAATGCCATAACTGGTGGTACAGATTGCTGAAAAAAAAACATTTCAATAAACAATAATAGAATTAATGGTAAAAATCTAATTTTGAAATTACCTGAAACAATAGACTAGCATAGAGCAGAGTACCATCTCCGCCTAAGCAAATAATGAAGTCTATTTTATCCGTTAAATCATCTTTACCATCTTGAAAAGAGTTTAATTTCTCTCGTATTTCCATGAAGCCCGAGTTACTAGAGAGCATTGTGTCTTCCATTACAGAATGTTCTACAAATACTATCATGCTTTTTTCCTAAGAACAAATAGAAAATTTTAAAACAACAATTGACATGACCTTCATCCAAGTACCCAATTAAAGATATTCATACCTGTATTAGCCATCTGACGAGTTCTATGAACGGTGGTAAAACAGACATGTCTCTTACTTTTTTTATCACCAATACAGATAAAGGATTTTTGTACCATGTCAAGCGCTGACTGGCTGGATCTTGAATTGTTCTGGACAAACAGAAAATAAAAAATATAAGTATACAATGACAAATCACAAATCGACTAACTTACGTGATTAATGCAGAGGTTTTCATGATACGGCCGCATGGTCCAAACTGTTGGACGGGGCTAGGAGCATTCAACGACCGTGTTCTCCTGAAAGCAAAAAAGAAGTATTGGTCATTAAATGGACTGTAACACACGAACAACGCGGACGGATACAATGAAAGAATGGACAATTGTCGGGTCACATACGAAAAATATTTTACACAATTCTGTGTGCGAATACGCTTACGGGTCAATGTCGTCCACAACGACCGATCCCTTCATGTCATTCATAACTGCAGCAGTGCGTCAAAATTTTCGTTTTACATGTCGTATGCACACCGCGACGGGAAGAGCGAAACGGTTTTATAGCAATTACGGAGCTGATTGTCGTGCGTTTTTTGATATTTTCTACCCGGGAACACTAAACCGGCAACTAGACCCAATAACAACAGACAGACAACGCTCAACAATTAAGAATTCTCAAAACGGAAATCGGGAAATTCTTCAGTGAAAACATTGTGAAATAGACAATAGTGAATACTGATTAAATCTTAAATTGTGGTGGAATGCCATACCGACGATCATCGTCGGATTATCAGATGATATTATAATGTTGTTATCACCGTTGTCGTTTGGGTGTGTTTACCACTTCTGTGCTACCACCAACGTCATGAGGAATAATTATTTATTTTATTAGTCACTAGAGTACGCTGAACGAATTTCGGCAAAGATAGCAGAGGGACTTATCCAGCGTGAAGGAGGCGCATCGGCGTACGGACAACGCGATAAAAACAATAAAGAATAATAAGCATTAAGTAGGTACCTACTTAATATTATTTTTATTTTTTAATTATATATTCACAGTTTCGGCTGCGACTAACGAGGACCATACGTCTTGTATCAAGTATCCTAAATCTCCAATTATCTTAATAGGTAATTATTGTTACGCCTATGGACTATGGTCTATATAGTACCTATAATATTGAATTTAATAAATCTGATTGAAAATATGTTTAGCTTTAGTATCAAACTCAACAGTATAATAGGTATAGTATAAATGTGCAATAAAGTACATTATTGCACTAGTTTTTATTTAATAACCTTCGAAATTAATTTTCTGTTTTTTAATACAATAATAGTGAGATGATAGTGATGTCCTCGAAATATGTGACCCAGCAAGTTGTGTCAACTAACATATATTATAATTAAAGTTAATTTAAATAATGAAATGAATTAAATATTTCGTATAACAATAGATGTAAAGAGATATTTATATAATGCTATAGTTATACTTTTTTTTCAATCGTTTTTTAAGTTTTCCTGGCATTAAATCATTTAAACTATAATGATATATTTTACATAAAACGTTTATAAAATACATAATTTTATTAAAATTATGTTGAAAAAAATACTTCAATTTAATTAAATTGTTGTGTACCACGTGAAAAACGTCTGATTCGTAATATACTAAATGTATTTAATATTAGATAAGTTGCTCCTCTAAATAGTAAATTAGTACTTAATATATTACATTTAATTTTAACAATATTATCATATTCTATATTGATGCGGTTAGGTTAGGTTAGGTTAGGTTACCCATCTGCTTATACTATTTTTATGTACCTACATACCTAAAATTCACTATAAAATTTGAGTATATATAGTAAATGGATAAGTAATTCAACTTTCAAAATATATACACAAAAATTAGCTTTCTTTAAATTAGCTATGATACATTTTGTAAGAAAAATTTTTGAAAATAGAAATCTTTATTTTAACTATCAATTTATAGTTATTCATATTTCAAAAATATTAAATTGAAAAAAGTTATTGACAATACAAAGGGATAAACATGATAAGACGGTAAGACACTGTATAAATTAATAAAGTCTACTATGTATTATGTATAATTATAACTTCTGTACAATCATCTTCTATAAATTATAATTTTAAATGTAGTTGGTAATTAGAAATAAGACAAAGAAAGTTACCTACTTTTCCGAATTTATAATTGTTCATTATTTACGTATGAGTGTCGAGTAATATATAATCAATGACTATAAATTTTGTAAAAAGAAAAAAAGTCCAATAATGTTTACCTAAATGTGAGATGTATGCCTATATTAAATGTATTTTTATTCACTTTATTGGGTTTAAAGAGAATTTTTAATTTTTAATTTTCATAAAAATATAATATTTTTCACAAAGAAACTATACATATACTTTTAGATTCAAAAATAAATAAATTATGTATAAAATAGTTATTATGGTTAATTTCCGTATTTCATTTTTGCATATCCACTATATTGACTATTAAATATCATTAGTTTTTTTTGTATAACATTGACCATGATAAATAATATAATTGTATAATTAGATATGATGATTAAAATTTATAAAAAAAAAATCAACCACAAAAAACATTTGTTCTCTGTACTTGAATTTTTTTATAGGAGGAAGTTTAAAATCAAGTACGCTTCGTGGTTGTATAACATATATCTATAACGGTTTTTGTGCTGACGTAATGTATCTATTAAATATTGAAAAATGTATTATATATATTATACTTATTTTAATGAGATCGTGTTGGTTAAATTTTACCAAAATATGTCTCATAAATTAACATTACATTTAAATATACAACAATGGCGATTTGTCCTTCTGCAGAAATTCTTACGTATTGATTACCTAATTAAAGACGTTTAATGATATGTGTCAGTATAAGTTATAATCATAAATATTTACCGAAAAGTAGGACAATCTAAAATGGTTAGAGTCTTCTTCAGTTTTTACTAGTATATGAATTATTAAACGGTTAAATAGCATCAACTGTGAGTATTGTATTCAATTTTCACGCACGTATTATTACAATACATAGCTTACACTTTTTTGACAAACAAGACAAATCAATAATATCAATAGGTGTGTAGTGTGTACGTATAATACAAATAATAACATACATATATTATTCTTGATATACAATAGTATGAAGTATGAACTATGAGTAAATACAGGTAGCCCCATTGCTCGATGAAGTTTCGTATTTGATCTAACAATTGCTACTTTCGCAAGTTAAATAAAAAATAATTTTGGTGTTTAGTTTAGAGTTGTATCTACATTTAATAGTCCTTGAAATATAACAGAAAAAAATATAATGTATACTAATTTTACTAAAGAGTCTTAGTATACACAAAACTAATATTACTAATGGATACAGACTACTTTAGTTATGAAATTCTAAATTCTGAAGGTAGTCGTAATTTGTTGGTTATAATAGTGGAAATTAGACATAGTTGGTCACCAAAGCTCTATCCAGTGGTGTACTTGTCTAACTTGAATTTACAAGCCCAGTGTAAAAAAAAATAAAAATAAAACGGTTTTATGTATTGTGAATAATCCAGTCCTCTCAAAAAAAAATAATAATAATAATATTAATAGCATTTATTCTATTTTTTAATAACAAAATAAATTAAATATTAATCATAATTTACAATTGTCATATATTATATGATATATTGTCCTTTCTTTAGTTATATTGTGAAATATTTTTAAAATTACTTGTTTCCAACTTTTGTAAACACATCGACAATTTCCTCAAAAACCACCTTCATAGTTGTATCTTGTTCAATTGCAATTTTAAAGTAATATTAAACCATTTAAAGGATAACATTGTATATAATAACTAAATATTTATTTTTAACAATAACATAGTTACAAGTTACAACGACAATTTTCAATTCAGATTTTGAAATGGTAAAAAAGATCGACCTTTTTCATTTTTAATAAATGGTGCTGTAGGTTGTCGCTACTATGCATCTTTATACTCGTTTTAAATTATGAACCGTTTTTTATCGTATGTTTAACGTATTTATCATCGAAATCATGTGACGCTGAAGTTTTGTTTCTTATTTATATGTATGATTTGATCACGTCCTAGTTCTAATTTTTACAATATTATACAATGTAATAATAATAGTTATATTTATGTCAAAATATTCATAATTAATATGATTATGATATATTACTGGAACACAAAATAATAAAGTTATATTCAAATGAACTGATAACTTCGTTATTATGCTGTAGATAAGTACATAGTTTTCGATATTATAGTCCATAGTTAATGAAAAATCAAAACTACATAATATAAAATAATAATAAATTACCATGCTATATAAAAGTGGCAGCTCTACTAACCGTAAATAAGTGTAATATTAGTTATTAGATATTATTTTATTTGCGTGCGAATAGATTCAATATTGTTATTATCAGTATTCTGCATTCAGCTTCAAAAACACGAATTTCCACAAAATTCTACCAAGGTCTTTGACACCAGTACAGTACTATTTTTTATATAATTCATGTACGGAATAGATAATATTTAACAATTTATTATTATTCATGTTTTATATATATATTGAACAGAGAATTATAGATACTACATAAATCTTTAACCTATTATTCACTAGATATGATTTATATTACAGCGTGCACCTCATTTTTATTTTTGCAGAAATTTTAAGTCCATTACATTTTAAAATAATTTTTATTTGATTTAGTAAGAAATATATACAGACCTCTATATATATTTTACAACAAAGTGGATTTTTTTTATTACTAGTAAATACGTTAAACACACGTCGTAGTGGATCGAACGTCTGCTACACAAGGCCATCAACACACGTGGTTTATTTAATAATGATACTTACACATCACACAATGTCAAGGTCTGTAATATTTATTGGAATTACCTACTATATTATTTTGTGTTTTCGCTTACAAGCAAGCTGGTGTGAAGTGAACACCATGCATAATGATAAGTGTATTTGTAACATATTATTATCATTAATAACGTGAAATTACGGGGTTAGGTTTTGGTGTAGTATATACAGGGCGATTTACCAATTCTTGCCATTTTAAGAGTTTCATATGGTAATACAAACTTTAGGTTTTGAATAAATTCGTTATTAACGGAAAAATAAGGCAAGTATAAGAAGGGATATTTGGTGAATTACCGAGAAAATTCATATTTGTAGGGTACCTCACTACTACCTCCTGATAATAATGAGGTGGTACGGATCGAGTTGCGGATTCATTAGTTAATAATT